GAATGCAGGGACACCGATCGGCGTTGCCAGTGCACGGGGGTAGCTTGACCTAATGTCGCGAAGAGCGAACACTAAACCAAACCAAAGACCAGTGATGCGGAGCAGATAAGAGCGATGAGCGACGAATGCAGATGAAGGCTGAAGCGATGTATTGACGAAGAGGTCAAGCTGAGGAAATACAGAGCAGACTACCTAGCTTATATACCTATTCTACTGTCTACATAGCCGCAGTGAGTCAGAATGACGAACAAATGGTGAAACATCGAAGAACAATAAGAAAGGTCATGAGGCTGCGCGAAGGCTGCGCGAAGAACAAGAATGAAACAATAATGGAACAAGAAGGTGTCAGAGTGTGTCAGAAGGCAGTGCGTAACAATAAGGACGATAGAGTAGGGCAAAGGGCAATGCGAGTCCATGAGTGAAAGAGTCCATAGAGGGAATAAGGAGGCGAAGGAGTAAAGGAAAGTGGAACGATAAGATGCGAAACAGATTAGATAAGATAAGATGAAAAATAGGGGCTATACCGGCTGTTCACGACACTCCCTTTCTGAAAGATCACCCACGACTGTAGTTTCAAGCAGTTGGTTAAGGTCGATGAAGATACTGCCGTGAAAGTTCGGGAGAGGATGAAGGAGGAAATGATTAGGAAGAGGGACCTTTCAGGCTATGATAAGCTATGGTACACCCAGCCCCGACCTTCTTTGGCCTGTGCCCACTGCAAGCAGAAGTTCAAAGGAACGGAGATTCGTCCCCACTTGAAGAAAGAGTATGTTCAAGTTTATCTGTTTTATGTGACCCTGCTTAACAGCCCCTCTAGGCACTCCATTGAACAACCTGGTGACAACGATGTGGTCGAATACCTCTTCGGAGATCGTTCCTTCAATAGACCTTACCGTTTCATCGACGTCAGTGGTGGGGCGTCGTTTTTCTGAGATTCTCTTCTTGTTCTACATTTACTCACTTGCACAATGTTTTTGGTTTCCCATCTCTATCAGTAACTATCATGTAGTATCCATTGCTGATTGAATGTCTTTCAAACTGATGTGAGTAGACTGTCCAAAGTCCGGTTCGGTTCAAGTTCGGGCATTTTTTGCCAAACCTGAACTAAGGCATAACACGAGTCCGGGTACAGACGGGTATACCCGTGGGTATATCCATGGGAAAACCCATCTGTACCCGTACCCGCGGATACAGGTATGAATTTAGGACTTTTGCCGCAGGTACAGGTATACCCGCGGGTATTTGAAGCATGATAACTATGGAAAATAATGTATTGAATATCATAAAATCTATTGAAAGGGTATCCTGTGTAGGGAAAGTAAATAGAAAGTGCGAAGAATGGAAAGAAAAGAAAGAATCTAGAAGGCCGAGTATCGGCCAAGGGAGAGTCGAAACCGAGTGGGAGTCGATGTGTGAACGACCTCGCAATGAGGCACAGACAGGCTCGCGGGAGAAGACAGACGCCGGGAGAATCTCCCGGGAAATCGAAGAGAGAGAGCGAACACAAGTTTGATTAGCAAGATATGTCAATTTCTCGTAAGTACCACAAAAGATTGTCCCTGCTGGGGACTTTTGGTGAAAAGTGCACAGTAAAAGCGAAAAGTCCAGGAAAGAAAGATGGGCCCCCACTCGAGCCCTCGTTCTCTATCTATAGTAAACCTACATCAACTTCTCGAGCTCGTGCTGTCCGAACCAATCGCTCTGCGCTTCGGTAAGTCACATGTGTGGAACGCGTCCAAATCCCCGCGGAGCAGGGCGCGTTCCCCACAATTGCTGGGGACTTTTCGTGATGACCACGGGCGTCATCGCGACAACAGATTCGCCAAACGCGTATCGTACCAAGAATCGTCCCAAGAAACGGATACTCCCCCAACCTACACAAACCAAAACCTCCCCTCCTCGCCCTACATAAACCGCTCGACACCTCGTCCTCCCTTCCACTATAACCTTCGCCATGGAACACCAACTCAACCCTGCTACCAAAGCCTTCCTCGTCACCGAAAGCAAACGCTACTCCACCCTCCACGAAGATTACCGTGGCACCATAAGCCTCGTCGAGATCCTCCTCGATCGCGTTGACCGTTTCGAGACGTTCGCGTTCCGCGGTGCTCTCGTCAAACGCACCATGACCCACATCGTACGTTCCTCTCGTTCCTCCTTCTGCTCCCTCCTGACTATCCCCAGGTCCAACTCTACGACGACCAAGCCGAGATCAACTCCATTCCCGGATACCACGTTGTCCTCCCCAAAGATCTCCAGCGTCGCATCTACACCTTCGCTCGCCTCCTACTCTTCGTCGGTCTCCCCCACCTCCCCGGTAACGGCGTTGAACAACTCAAGAAAGCCTTCGGTCTGGTCACCGAAAGGTATTGGGACGACTCGGGGCGCGACGACATCGACCACATCCAAATCACTGGGCGCGGCGACTTTTTGGGTTCAGCTGCAGTCGTTCGCTTCGAGAATGAGTTCGGGAGGGTTAATTAGCGTTGTCGGCGTCGTCTACGTCCCCATCCCTGTCGTGTGTGAAATCCTCGAGTTCGTCGTCGTCCATTTCTACGATCTTGGTAGTCGGTAGTAGCTTGTTGTTTCGTGGGTAGTAGGGGATGACGCGGTATTGCGCAAATCGAAGCTTCGAGACTGTACCATCGAGTTCCGCGAGAATATAAGTCCCCTGATTCGTGCGCCTGACGACGATAAATGGCCCAAGGTAGCGTGGCTTCGACTTATGGCCAACCGACGAGTCGAGCTTCGAGTTCCGTACCAGGACAAACGAACCGTCGGGGCACGGCCTGTTACGAATCAGATGGCGGTATCGAGCTTCGAAATCAGCGTTCGATGCGAGGCGCAAATCGTGTACTGCCTGCTTGACAGCTTCGAGGTCCTCCGGTCGCTTCTGGAGCATACGGGCGCGGTGGGCGATTAGCTCTTCTGTCGAGACCCAGGAACTGAGAGGGGGCGCAAGCCATGTCGCTTCGGCAAGGTCGAAAGGCAGTAGAGGTTCGATACCGTGGGCGAGATAGTAAGGCGAGTACCCGGTGCGTTTTTGAACAGTAACCCGTTCTCCCCACAGCACCGAGTAGGCATATCGAGCCCATTGGGAGTCGTCTCCTTCCGTGGCTTTGACCAGCGCTTCCCGAACATCGAAGTGTCGCCTTTCGACCAGATTAGCCTTCGAGTTGTACGGGGCGATCTTGATATGCCAGATCCCGTATTGCTTAGAGAGTTGGTCGGCTGCAGCGATAAAAGCGGTCCCATTATCCGTCACTATCTCCTCCACCGCCCCCCAACGGCACAAAATCTCCTCGAAAATAAAACGGGCGATCGTACCGGCATTCTCGACACGTAGCATCCGATATTCAGGATAGCCAGTGAGGCCGCACCGGGCGTGGACGATGAACTTGAACCCGAAAGAGGCCGGCATGACCATAACATCGATATAGCATTTCCGGAAAAGGTTGGCGGGGAGTGGAACCGACGGAGGAATATGATAACGATGGACTTGTCGAATCTGGCATTCGTGGCATGTACGAACGTACCATCGAACGTCGTCGTCGAGATGCGGCCACCACACACGAGCAAGCAGCCGCGCGCGGACCGAGTACACCCCTTTGTGCCCCAACTTGTCGTGCGCTCCCCTAAGCAGTCCATACCTCTTCCCCCTCTCCACCACTAGCTGATGCCGACCCAAGTTATCTCTCCTCCACAGCTTCTCATCCAATACGAAAAACCTCGTCGAATACTTCACGAATCTCCTCATATCCTCCTCTGACTCGACCTCCGGCTTCTCCCCAAACAACTTGAACGCACGCACACGGTCGACCATCTCATCCTGCCTGATAGCCTTCGCCGACCGGGGAATCTCGGGAGTCTCATCGACTTGGCTCTGTTGAAACGAAAAAACAAGGGTAGGGGCGACAGGCGACTGAAGATGAAGCTGCGGGTTTGGGTTGGACTCGTTGGTAAAATACGACCGCCGGTAGTTGATGAGCTCGATCGCGAAGGAACATGCCTCATCGATCCATTCGTCGTAGTCGTCGTCCTTCGGGTCGTTGTCGTTGGGGGAAACCTCTCGTCGTGAAAGACCGTCGGCAGCCGTGTGGTTCTTTCTGGCGATATGTCGGAAGGTGAAATCGAACATGAGAATTCCGGCGATCCACCGATTCAAGGTCGCGTTGGGGATACAGTCGGGGTTATTGATCATACCCTTAACATACTTGGCATCGGACTCCACCACTAACGGACACGGGCTAGCGATAAAAATGCGCACGGCCTTGAGAGCACGAAGTATCCCGAACAGCTCGTACTTGGCCTGCGAATAATTCCTCTCCGTTTCGTTCCAGGTAATTGACCCATAGCGTGAAGGGTATCGCTTCCCATCCTCTCCTAGTTGCGACAGAACCCAACCACACCCGTAGATCGAAGAGTCGACCGCGAGGATAATCTCGCGACCGGATTCGTGGTCGATAGGTCGGATAGCCGAACATGTAGCAATCAATTCCTTCAACTTTTCGAACGCCTCCAGCTCCTTCTCCCCAAACTCGAACGGTACTTGGCGACGTGTGAGGCGAACCAACGGTGCTGCGATAAATGAGAAATCTTTGATGAACATACGGATGGTTCCCGCAACTCCAAGAAACCCTCTGACTCCTGTGAGATCCTTCGGCACGGGCCAATCGACGACCTTATCAACTCGGGACTTATCGGGTAGTCGTCCTTCATACGTGCAGAGATGGCCGACAATTACCGCCTCGAATACACAGAGCTTGGTCTTCGGACCTGAGAATGTTCCCCCAGCGTTTCGGACTCGGTTTACGATCCGATTGCAGACCTGAAGATGTTCCCAGACGAAACGGCGGATGCCGGGGTTCTCGGGGATCGTCTCGTATGTTCCGTCGGGCAGCTCATAGCGCGTCTTGGGGCCTTTGGCGGGAACATCGTCGACAAACGGCATGGTCCAGTCGGGGATCTCGTCGCGTAAAACCTCCGTTAGGTCCCCTTGTTGGATCTGGAGCGAGTTCGTATACCCCATCGGGATACGTGTGAGTCGAAGCGTGCCGAGGGGGGTTTGGAAGGACGTCAAGTCGCGTGAGTTGGGGTGGAGGAGACGCTGATCGTAACCGACGAACAGATCGAAAGTGGAATAGCAAGCGCGCCCTCCGAAAGACTCCGCGTATGGCTCGATTTGAGGTGGAAGAGCAGAATCTTTGATAGAAACGGCATTGAGGGGCTGTAAATCATGAACCAATCGAAGGGATTTCCCGTCCTTCTTCACCACGCAAAACCACCGCGAACGATACGACGAATTCGACGGCTCGTAAACACCAGCCCTAATCTTCTCCTTGATGATCTCGATGACTTGCTTCAGGCGGCCGGGTGGGATAGGTATGTTCTTGCATACCCAAGGAACGTGGTCGATGGTGGCGATTTCGATTGGGGCAAACCAGAACTAGGGATGGTCAAGGGGTTTTAAAACCCCCGGGGTAGAGGCCAAGGGTAGAGCGGGGGTAGGGGTAAGGGTAGGTCTCCGGCTACCCTTGGCCAAACCCCTACCCCCGGTCGGGGGTAAGGGTTTTGATAAAAATCAATCAAAACCCATTTATTTCAGCATCTATGTATATTTTCTACTAAATAACTGCTGTATGCGCAATAAAACACATAAAAATATACATATAGACAACTGTAAGTGATTGTTAGTGCCAAAATGATTAAAACCCTTGGTCAAAACCCCCAGGGTTGGGGGTAAGGGTACTACCCCTACCCCTCAGTCAGGGGTAGGGGTTTTGGGGGGTGGGGGTAAGGGTAGGTGTCCGGCTACCCGGGGGTTACCCCTGTCCTTCCCTAACCAGAACATCCCACTTTCGTCGGATATCCACGCGAAACAAAACTCGTTAAGACGAATAAACCAGTGACATAACTTCTCTTCTTCCGACGACGAATTCTTCTCGGCATTAATCCCCATCTTCTCCTTCCTCTCCTGCGTGTACCTTTCTCCAGGCTCGAATTCGGGCGGGTTCGTTGGCAATTCCGGCATACCAGCGAGAGGATCGTACCCCTCCGGCATCTTTCGATCGACTTGAAACTTCTCGGGCGTTCGGGATCGACTTGACTTTATCGGCGACTCGTTTGTACTTGTACGATGCGAATTCGGTAAACGTTACGTGAGGGTTCGATTCGTCGTCAACGGCGTCTAATTGGATTTCGGCGATATATACAGCGTGTGTCATGAACAGGCGAAATCATGACATAGAATGGTGCTTATATACCACGGTCTGCCTGTCCACCTAAGCTGGACATGGGCGCCTTTTTGGCGCAGTGGTTAGTGTGACCGTCTAATCACGACATTATGTCCAGCTTCAACAGGTCGAGGGTTCAACTCCCGGGATGTACACATTTACTGGCCGGTTTGAGTCATGTGAGCTTAAGGTCATGTGACAATAAGAACCATGTGATAGGCGCAAATGTAATGGATCACCCGGGCACCTTCTGGGCCCTATAGACCTGCAGGCATGACAGTTGTCCGCTGCCTGGAAAGGCCGGTATAGGGGATGCATCGCTCTCGTCTTACGAGGACGTAAGCCATAGAAGGGGGCTAATGTCATGAACAGGCGAAATCATGACATAGAATGGTGCTTATATACCACGGTCTGCCTGTCCACCTAAGCTGGACATGGGCGCCTTTTTGGCGCAGTGGTTAGTGTGACCGTCTAATCACGACAGCGTGATGCGATAGGTCGTTGGTACCATACAGGAGGGGTTGTACGTCTTGTAAAAGCGAGTGTCCAGAAAACAGCGAAAAGACCGGTGACGGGGACTCCTCTTTCGAGGAGTCAGACGGTGGAGGCGAAGATGAAGAAGGGCCCGAGTCTCCTCGGCCCGTCTCCGATTCATAGACTCCATTCAAAAATCCAAGGCGCGGCCGTTAGCGGTGTCGAAAACCGTCGAGCGAGGCTCGTTTTCGAAGGTAGGGAGCAAGATACGCTGATGGGTGTTGGGGCAGTTGAGCTCGATCATAACAGAGCCGTCGGCGCGGTTTTCGAAATGCGCTTTCAAAAGAACATGGAAGGGGCGACCAAGAAGGAAACAGTAAGGCGCGTTAGGAACGACATGAACCTGCAAGAAGGCGTCGATGGTACCGACGCGACAATGGACGTTCTCGACAACGCCGAGAGTTTTGGTGATACTGCCGTTAGCAGACTCCATGCTAATGACAAAATCGCGGTTGATAGCCCAACCGGTTTTCTCCCACAACGACTCGGGAATACTGACGATCGACGACCCCTCGTCGAGAATAGCCCTGAGAGCGAACCGATTGTCGAGCACCAACGAAATGGTTCGAATCGATTCGGAGTGCGACGCCGTGACCCAACCCTCAGGAACTTTGACCTGACCAGAGACCGGATGCTGGAGGAAGGAATGGGCGACGTGAAGGGACCCGTCCTTCCGATCGTCGACCGTGATGTTGTCCCCGCTTTCCAACCCGTCGATACCAATGGTCTTCTGGTCTTGAACCCGACGCGTTCTACAAGTGTCGGCCTGGGACCTCCGCATGTCCGACGAAATGGCCATGAGATCGGCGAAGGTGGTAGGGATAACCGTCTCGTCGATCATCTTCTTGACGCGAGCGAGAGCGGTCGGGTCGTCGTACCCCGAAATGTACGAACGCGTTTCTTTGGTGACAACCGGCGAGGTCGAGGTCGCAGTAGGTGTCGTAGACGCAGCCGAAGTCGAACCCGCAGTCGCAGCCGTCGTCGAGGTCGTAGTCGCACCCGCGTTCGCAGTCGTCTTCTTCGGCGTGTCGGTACCTCCGCTATCCTTCCCCGGACCTTTCTCTCCCCCTCGAACCCTTCCCGACCAAAGCTTCTTCTCCTCTAACAATGCCTCCTTCCTTGCCGTCAAGCTCTTCAACACCTCGATCTCGTCCTCCTCCTCCCTAAAATCATCCTTCTCCTTCGACTGCACGAACGCTCCAACCACCGGTGGCGGACCTCCAGCGTTTCCGACCGACGAGTTCACCGAGTTGAAATAGTGCGAAGGGATTGGGGTCTGCGTGTTCTGTTGCGCGGCGGAAGTGCTGGCGTTTGCCCCCTTGAAGGACGGATGATCGTTGAGCCAGTTGTCGACGCGTTCCTTGAAGTTTCGACCTCGCGCGTTGTCGAAGGTAATTCCTGTCCCATCAGCGAAAATAATCCTCCCTTTATCGTCCTCCTTACACCACTTCTTTGCCAGGTACTCCTTCCTCGACGGGCACTCCCGCATGAAGTGACCCGCATCCGAGCAAAAGTTGCACACCCGAGAGCGAGGCCCTTGCGCATACTGCTCCGCCTGCGATGACGATCCGCCCAACCGACTGTTCTGAACCGAGACCGTGAGCTTGGACAGCGCGTCGCAGACCTTGTCGAGTTTGTCGTCCGAGGGATGCGCGGGTGGAGGTGGTGGCGGAACGTTACGAGCATCGAAAGGAGTGCGAGCGGAATCGGACGAAGGCGTTACACCGTCGGCACCAGGCGGTCGAGGTCCGACACCGAGCTCTTCGTTCTCGCGTGCTTGAGCAATGGCGTGATTCATACTCTGACGGATGCTATCGGTGGACCAAGGTGTGCCGGGTAGATGGTCGGGGTTCTTCAACCTCATGTGCTCCAACAACGGCTCACGAATGTAAGCGGCTATCCCTTTCAACAACAACATACTCTGATCTGTCGCGAAGAGCGAACACTAAACCAAACCAAAGACCAGAAGAGCAGAGCGGATGAGAGCGGAGAGCGAGATAGAGCGATGAGCGACGAATGCAGATGAGTGCTGAAGCAGTGTATTGACGAAGAGGTCAAGCTGAGGAAATACAGAGGGATCTACCTAGCTTATATACCTATTCTACAGTCTACATAGCCGCGATGAGTCAAGGTGACGAACGGATGGCGAGACACAAAAGAACAATAAGGAGAGTCACAAGGCTGCGCGAAGGCTGCGCGAAGAACGAAGAAACAATAACGGAGTAACGAGGCAGTGCAAGAATGGAGAGAACAATAAGACGTAGGGCGAAGGGCATAACGAGGCAGTGTT